CATAACTCAAACTTGGAGGAAAATTAGGATTATGTGATCCAAAATGGATCCCCAACTATAGAGGATTTGAGACTTAAATTTAATTGTTGTTAAGATTTGTTATTGATAAGTTGGAATTTCATAAATATTAATGTGGAATTTTTAACTTGATATTATTGATTTATGGGATTTTACTTGATTTTACAAAACTTTCATTCTTTGCACAAAACAAAACTTAATTGGAAGAAATCTTAACTTTTAAGATCAAATTGCAAAGATAAAAAACATGAGAATTAAGTTATGTGGAGTCCAAAAGTTAGGAACTAAGGTTGACATTTTGCCATTAACCAAAATTGCTTTAAAGACCATAATGCCAACGTGGACTCTTCATTTACTGATTTATTAAAGGCATCGACACCTTTTTTCTAGTATCAGACCCCTTGACAATTTCAGCAACTTTACACACAATCTATGTTTTCTAGGTAAGGGTCCCACTTCTATTCCACTTAAAATTTTTAAAATTCTATAAATACTTATTTAAAATCAGAATTAAGGGAGTTTTAGAAGAATGTTAGTGGTAGCTTTCTTTTGAGTACTCTTGGAAATAGATAAAATAGGCAATAAAAGAATTCAACAATAATAAAAGATCAAGAATTTTAACTTTTTCAAATTAGGTTTTTTTTCGTAAATTATTTTTAATTATTTTTATTTATTGGTTGATATTTTTATATTCATAACTATAATTTCAAGTTTTAATATTTTTATTATTACCTAATTTAACTAATTAAGGCTATGATGTAGCCCAATCAATATGATATAAAATTTTATAGTTTTTATCCTTTTGAGATTGTTATTTCATGATAAGTGTATCATTGTTCTAAATTTTTTAATGCTTGATTATCATTAAAATTGATATAGAAAGCATAATTAAGATCGAGAGAAGATTTTATGTAATAATTTTTAACAATAGAGTAGGGATCTATTTACACTCAAGTCTTACATACCATACTTACATAAAATCTCAATAATTCATTTTTTCACTTTCAATGGTTGAGATTTATTTACATTTATTAAAAGCAATTATTTTTTCATTTAAAAAGTCATAGTAAATCTCACTTATTGAAAGTAGAGAGATGAATTGTTGATATTTTGTGTAAGTATGATGTATAAGAATTTTGTATAAGTGGATCCCTCCTCTTAATAATAGATATCATAAATTGAACAAAACCTAAGATGAACCAATATGATTTATGTAACATTAGTGATAAGTGGATTTAATTTTCTACTTAAACTAAAAAATTTTACAAAATATAATGCATCTTTATCTATTTAAATTCACAAAATGATATAGTGGATTAATAGGTGAAGATAGGTTTGGTGTAACTTAATAAAGTATATCAAATAGAATAGTAAATCTTGTGGTCACATGAATAGTAATATCTTGAAAACATAACAATCCAAAATGTATATTGGTTGGCTATAGTAAAGTTGAATGCTTTAGTACCTCGTATTTTAGTTAGTTTTATTTTAATTTAATTGTTATTTTTTTTATTTTTAATTAATGTTTCTTCCTTTTTGATTATTCAAATAAATATAAAATTAATTATTTGTAGTACTTAATTAATCACAATTCTCATGAACTAGGTGCTTTTCTCGTCATTATATTACTTGGAGTAAGTAATGAAATTATTAGAGTGATTTTAGCGCATCAATTAGGATCTCTAATGAGTTAGGATCTTAGTGCATAAAGTTTTAACTTTAGAAGAAATAACCAAGGATTATCTGTAAAACTCTCATTAATTGTAACATTATATTCCAATCTCTATAGTTTCACTTACTCATTAATAAAATCCTAATTACTCCAATAGATTTTTCTTATGAATTAATTTTCAACAAAAACAATTATAATATTTACAAAGCAATTAAAACACTTATAAAATTAATGAATATTATAATATTTTGATTTCATAATTTCAATATAAAAAAAGAAAACTTAAATTCTTGTGGAAACATTACAGTTATATTTTATATGATTTTGATTCTATTAATATAATTCAACAACATTGATGTAAACCATACTTAAATCATATTAAAAATTACAAATAAAAATATTATTGACAACATTAAAATAAAATATAAAAACAAACATATGTTATTCAACTAATATGAACTAAAAATATATTCTATTTTTTGAAAAAGACATAATTTGTTAACTGGTTATCCCAATACTTTTTTCTATTCGTGAGTCAAAAAAAAAACCATTACACAACATTTTTGTAATGGCACTAGACGACTTTTCAAATTTTTTCTAGTTTGGGAAGAAAATCCTAATTCTTCCTAATATCTTCTCTAATCTCATACAATTAACAAATTAATGATTATCATTGCGGAAACACATTAAGAATATGTCAAGTCATGTCATAAATCTAACCTACTAAATTTTAAGAACAATTGGGGGTTAGAATCATTTGTCCATATTTCAATTGCTCTGTGATTTTTTATACTTTCTTATTGTAGGATTTTAAGTTAGGTTTCGGTAAATAATTTAAGAATATCTTCAACAATTCATTTATAAATAAAGATAGATATTATTAAAGGATATACTTACTATAAATGTTAATGAAAATTTCAAAATAAGTAAATATCCAAATATTGATAATATCAATACCATTATATTAATTATCAGAATAATTTTGACTTTTCATTTATCAACTATCAAACACTATATATATATATATATATATATAAAGAGTATTATTAGATTATGTAAAACAAAAATTAATTTAAAAAATAGAGAAAAGAAAGCATACATTGAAATACATATGGGAACAATTGTGAGAGAGGAAATAAAGAGATAAAAAATGCATGCAATTGCTATATAGAATGATCTATTTATATTAATTTTTAGCATTAATAATTGATATAATGCTTATTAGTAATTTTGGTGCTACCTTTTTATTCATATTTCTATTAGAATTGTTTATTCGCTAGCAGCAGAATTGTTTAATCCATGAAAATAGGAGAATTCGTGTTTCAATTTTAATTATCTATTATCCAATTGTAGTTCTCTGTAGGTAAACATTCTATTTTTCATTTTTCCTATTATTTTCTTTCAAGCCTCTCCTGTTTCCTGTTAAATAAGTTCTGTGACACATGTTCTCTGCCCTGTACAGAAGTTAGAAAATCAGGTACCCAAGAAAAGGGAATCCTTGACCAGTTGGACCAATTGGTTAAACCGGTTGAATTAAATCTGGTGACCAAAACGGGTCAATCATTAGGTCGAGTTTTAAAACACTGGTTTGGATGCTAAAAAACTGATCTTATTTTAGGTGTTGAGAAAATTTGCTAAGAAAATTGTGATTTAAAGATATAATTTATGAATTAAAAGAATTAAAGGGCAATAAATAAAATAATTAAAGGAATTAAAAGGTAATAAATATAATTATTTTAGTTAGGATCAATCACAATTTTTCGAGATGAATGGGAAGTTGATTGGCATGTTTTTGTCTAGGTAAACTTCTTGTCTTAATTACATTTTCAAATGCTATTAAAAGATTTTTTTTTTTTT